ATTACAACTACATACTCATTACCGCTATAAAAAAGATTATTACCGCTACATTGCCTCGTTTGTTATAGCCAGCAGCTTTTTCATGAACATATTGATTAAAAGTACAACAAACACATGTATAAGACTTTTTTTCTGCTCACCACGAGGGAAGTGAATGTAGGACTTTCAGCAGATTTTTTTCTCACTTTTTTACTAGTATATAAAATCTACGTAATAAAATGTTTTCGAAAATATTAAAACAGAGAAATTGTTCATGGATAAAACCACAGGTACTTGTGGACAGTACCCCCCCCCCCCCCCCTCAAAAAAAAAATACCCCACTATACATTATAATGTATAGTGGGGTATTTTTGTGTGGAACGATTATTTTGGGGTTTTCACGATTTTTTCCTATGGTACACATGATGAATAAGTGCAATAAATCTAATTTGTGAAAAAAATGTCCAACAAGCCCCAGGGTTGAATATCGGGGGGGAGGGGGGGTCCTGTCCCGAAGTACCTGTGGATAAAACACACAGTCTTCACAGAATTGATAGATCTATGAAGGCCATTTGCTTGACGTGGGCCTAGTGCTCACAGGCACTTGTTTCGTATACGGGGCACCCATACTTATTTTTACCACAAGGTGCCTAACTCCATTTCAGGCACCCCCGCTTCAAGCTCGTATTTTGTTCATATATCAATCATTAACCTACTTTAAAATTATATCGTTCGCTTCGACAGACTTTTTTCTTGTCAAATAGTTCCTTTCAGACGTCTGTGCTAGTGCTGTCTGGAAATCTCATCATTTTCATATTTTGCGTACAGTTTTTTTCTGACTCGTGTTGTTACTCTCCTTCCGGCCTGAATAGAACTCATGCATATTTCGTGCCATTGCTGGCAGATTTGAATATGTAGTGGTAATGAGTTGTAATCGCAATTGTTTTATAGATAAAATGTAGCGGTAATGATCACCCGAAATTTCAAAGAAATGTAGCGGTAATGAGTTGAAATTTTTCGCAATGTAGCAGTAATGACCTCCCGTTTTGGAATACACAATGTAACTGCATTGCTCCTCGTCCGTTTAAATTTTCACCGAAGACATATTAATTTTTTTAATATATCAATAGGTTTAATTTAATTTTACCTCGTCTTAACATTTAAATATTCTTGAATAATTCCTTTAAGTCCTTATAAAAAAATTATCTGATTTTTAAAATCATATCTCCATTCGAAAAAAATGTAGAAAGCGCTATTTTTCTAAATACGCATTTCCACAGTAAAACAATAATAAAAAAAAATGCACAACAAACTACACCGCGTTTATAGTAATATTTCAATTAACCTAGATAGGCAAACTAAATAAATAATACAGATAATACCGTTATGTCTCAAAATGCACTGAACATTAGAACAATTAAAATTTTGGGATATGTTTTCTTGTGAATATTTTTTCCCAGTAAACCCGCAACCTATCTTAATTACGTTTTCTAGTTACGATATGCACATTATGCTGACACGGCACAGTGTTTACTGAATTGAATTTCATTTATGAAAGATATTAAATAAACATGTATGGAAAATTATTAAAATGAAACAGCAAATCACATAACTTGTTTGTGTTGACACACGCGCTTTTGAAGAACTTCTTGTGACTATTGTTAATAGATACAGTGTACTCCGCATTACAAAGTAAAACATGCTTGTAGCCAGGGACGAACAATTTTAATCCGTTATAAAGGTAATTCATTATATCGCATAAACGAAAAAAGTGACTTCTTTGGTTATAGTATCCATGGACATCGTATTATATAAATACTGCATGTATATAGTTGAGGGTAACATTGTAAATTTTCAAATGATACCCTCTACTACATGTAGTATTTATTATATTATTCTGGGTGTTTTATACAAATAATGTAAATAAAGATGAAGCGTTCGCGCATACATTCTGGGCGGTATTTTTCTTGGGGGAGGGGGGGGGGTTGATATCACTCGTCGTCAAGCAATGTTGACTGTTACTAAATTCTATCTAGAAGGCGTGGTTTCATCATTCAGAGGGTAACAGTGTTTTTTAAACAAATGTTTCTCAAAGAATCAAATTCCAGTAATTTACATAAAAGTATAATATACCAAAATAACGATGTTGTATTTCCGGGCCCTCAGATACTCTTGCAAAAATCTATAATATACAGGCCAACGGACTAACAAGCTCATTTCATTAGGCCACAGTAAATAAATGCTGTGTTTTGCGTCCCCGGGCGAGCAGGGTTTTTTTTCCCTTCAAATTAAAATGTAGTAAAACTGAAAAAAAAAAAACTTCCCAGAAATACAAATAAATTGACAAGTGATACTTGTACTTCCTTTAAAGAGAAGTGACTGATGCTATCAAAATAAAGCATGCATTGAATTAGTTTTAGGCTCTACTTGTCGATTTTATATGATAGAAAGATTTTATGCAATGGTAGTGTGGACTTCTTGTATCTCTTCCGACAGTTAATTTTGCCCGATTTAAATAAAACTTGGTATATACAAGTAGAGTACGCTAAGATACACAGAATTCTTTGTTTCACTTTTTTTTATTTCAGTGAACGGTGTTGCCATGGTCACAAAAAAAGAATTTCTGTGACGTTCAAAAGTGCACTATGATTTCACCAATCTTGTAATTATAGGTTTAACTACATGGTGCACATGAAATTACACCAGTCAACGTTGTACATGTAGTGGTTATCTACATACACTGTACTACATAAAATTTCTTAAATACCACAGTGACTGGGATATGATCTTGATGCATACATAAAACACAAAGAGGAAGGACAACAATTTTATACCCAGTCTTCAGATAATGCGTTCATTCGTTGAACTTTATGAGTTTTTTTTTTTGGGGGGGGGGGGGGAGGGGCACTGAAACTCGTGCTAAATTATTATTTTTTTATTTTCATTTTGAATAAATAAATGATGAATTATTACTAAGGAATAAAATCAAAACACTTCAACTCTTGTAGCATGAAAATTGAATTTAGTGAACAGAACTTTTGTGGATTTGTGATCTCGGCAATGTGCTATCAATAGAAGGAAGAAAACTGGTTTTAGGTTCCTTAAATATTTCCAGAATTTCTTTAATGGAGTGTGCTCCAAAGCCCTGGTTCAATACCACCTGTATCCAACCTTATTAAATAATATATTATTTTTCTTAACCCCTTCCATCAGTATCATCAAAGTGGAAATTTGAAAAAAAAGTGGGGGGGGGGGGGATTCTCATACAAGTACACAAAATGTGGAGCGGGGGGGGGGGGGGGTTGAGGTTGCTTAACATTGTCACTGATTTCTTTATTGAATGTAGATTTGATATCCTCAATATCACCCATGAAATTTAGTACTCTGTATTGTAGAAAAACCCAAGCGTGTGTCTTTCAGTAGCGTTTTTTCCTTGAACAAAGTAACTCTCATGGCCCCAGCCATCACAGTCTCAAACTTCACCACAACCCAAGTCATACGTAATTTCATACACAATTCACTAGTTCATCATAAACTCCAAGTTGTAAAGGACGGTGGCAGGGAGAGTGACACATTTTGGTCCCTAGATTTGGTAGGGCCAGTCTGAGGCATGTTACCGGATATTGCAAATGCAAACAAAGAATCTTTTAAGATATACATAGATATTTGATAAAAATGAATACAAATTTACTTTATTACTTTATTAATTCATTTATATAATGAGAATATTTTATCACATTGAAGAATACGGGCTAGGCTAGGAGATCAAATATTAAAACAGACTGATATATTTCAATTTTGGACCTCAAACATTACTTCCACTGAGACTTGAAATATAAATAGTAAATAATGCCTATCTCTTTACATATTTTCAAATTTGCTTTTAAAAAAAAAATGATAAAAAAGAACTTGTAATAAAAAAAACACCTGACCAGAAGGATCACTTGAATCTTTACAATTAATTTCATTAATAAGTCAACTAATTCTGAACAATATTTGCATATAATATACTGGTTTACACAGATATAATTATGTGCCACACACAACCAAGTACAAATTCAAATTACTTCTCAAATAAGTAAAAACCCTCACAAAGACTTCAAAATAAAAACTGGACCTTTATGACTAGGCTTAATTCATCTTTTTCCATTAAAATCATTTATTATTTTAAAAAATTAAACTCACTTTGTTTCTTCAGAAAAGCTAGGGTGTACTTTTATGATCTTAAAATTATATGAATGAAAATCTAATACACTGAAGATGCCAAAAGCCAAAATGCTTGCCTGAGACATTTTGTGTCTACTGTTCTTAAAAAGATTGTTTTTAAAGATTTTCCCCCTCCATATTCCTATAAAAAATGTTGACACTTCTATACATGTACAATTTAAACCCTAATTTCAGTCCGTTTCTAACCCCAATGCCCATAAATTAAACAAATTTAAATGTTGACACATAGATACATGCAAAATGAAAACCTTACTTTTAGCCCCAATGTCTATAATTTGAACAAAATTAAATCCATATGATGTTGTAATGTTTGCATATGACTTTGATTTATGTCACCCTGCTAGTTTTTCACTTATATCTATTTTTATGCAAAACATATAACCCCTTCTGCAGCTCTACCCTTGCCTTAGGGGCAATGAAAAAAACTTGAATCTATGCTCATTAAGAAAACTCTTGGATAACATTTGTCTTATATGACCAAATAGATCATAAAATGAAAGTTTTTAAATGTCTTTGACATTATCCCATTTTTCATATTTCTTCATTATCTCCCCTTGGAAAAGGATGCAGCCCTTTATTTGAATAAGCTTTATAACTCCTTTTAAGCTGAGATACATTGTACCAAATGTGGTTTACATTGACCAAATGTTAAAAAAAATTAGAAAATGTTAAAAGTTAATGGAGGTAAACACTCAAACATATAAATAATGCATTGTTGGACACCAAAGACTTCTTTTTATCAGAATTGTGCAATTGAACCTTTGCAATTGAGCCTTTGGATCAGGGGAGCTAAATTCCATATCCATGTTTAGCTATGGACCTTACTGTTAAACCAGGTGTGTTGTATCTCCTTGAAATAATTACACCATATACAAATGTAATTTTAAGGCAGTATGTTTTTAAATGTACTTTTAAAGCTTTAATTCAATTGTCACAGCAGATTTGGTGTAACTTCCAAGAAATATTTTCCGCATTGGCTGGCTCTCTCAGTTGGGCATTCAAGCACTCAAAATGGCTGCATGATTCGATCATTTTTTCTGATGAACACTAGGAATTTTCATTTGTCCTGGTTTTCTTCTTCAGCCCACCATCATGCATGCATCTATATTGAAATTAAATTTAAATGATCATTTAATCAAGCATGTTTTAAAAAAAAACACTTCCAATCATAAAATCCTTCCTGCATATTTATACATTATCATTTTATAAACTGTATGTTGCCCTACAATGTACATGTACTTATGATGTGCTATTTTTGTTTTAAATGTAATCCTTATACATTCTACTGTTATATGTATATGTTAATTGTTATTTGTAAATGAAAATAAATTTCAAAATAACAATCATCTTGAGAGTATTGCATAAGCCTACTGGCAAGTCACAGTAATCTGGTTCCCAAAGGCTATAATTCTGTCAAAAATCAACAAAGTGTAATGAAATGCAAACTTGATCTGTAACTTATCCAGGTACACTCACATATACTTAAAATCAGCTGAATACACATGTATCTGCGAGTGTTTAGAAAAAAAAATCCAGAAAACCAAGTGACGAAGACTGACAGACAGACTGATGGACAGATAAGGGGGAAACCTATACTCCCCTCCGGTGTCACTGGTAGGGGATTAAAATAATTACATACGGTGTGCAAATATTTTGAAGACTCTCTAAAACAGTAGTTTATTCATTAATTTAAAAATGAACATCATAAAAATATTGATCCCTAAGTACATGTGTACATGAACATGATGTGTCATATACATGTAGAACATGTAGAACATGCTTACTAAATAAATTAAAAGGAAAACCCCACTTTTCAGAGCATAGCTGTAATAAAACAAAGAAGTGTGGAAAACCAAATGGAACAGACTGACAGTTAGACCGTGAAGGAGAAAACCTATAGTCCCCTCCAGTTTCACCCACAGGGGACTAATAAAATAAGAAGTTTACACCCCCTCAAAAGTTAAAAGACCCAACTTTTTTTTAATTGAGAATTTTTTTTTCTAAATAGTGATAATCTTACATTTGGTGATTAAAACAGAATATAAAATTTAAAACTAGATTCACATAAAATTATGATGAATAAAGAGTAAAGAAAACATTTTTTTAAACATTAGAAATTTTAATTGATCCTTTTTAGCAAATATTTTTCATCACTTGCATCATTCTTGCTATGGCAGATTAAAATTTGAAGAAAGTAATTATCAAGAATATTAGATGTAAAGGTTGCAGGGGCTTTTTAATGACAATATTGTGTGTAGGAAGTTTTCACATTTATACACTGCGCTGTAGAAAGCCTGTCCATTGCTAGAATTCATTCACTATTCGGTGTCGTCTGCAGATCGGCACTGAGGGATCACTTTACCAAGCATCTGTCTGTGTCTAGCTGTCCGTCTGTCTGTCACACCCTATATCTCAAGAACTGTTAGAGGTATGGATTTGATATTTTGCACATACATTGCTTGGCACTACAGCTTTTGTAAATTATCATGGAGGTACCGACCTTGTGACCTTTGACCTTGACCTTTAAAATAGTTCATAGTGCTGATATACAACATATATTTGACATTTAAGAGGTAAGTCTATGCTATTTAGCATGTATACTATTTGTCATAAGGCAATATAAAAAATATCAGCATTACAATCCACTTGACCTTGACATTTGACCTAATTTGCAAAAAATATCTTGGGCAGTTAATTAAACTTATGAATATTGAATTTTGAGAGGCAGGGTTTAGATAATTAGCATTAATATATGTTCATGATCTCATGATTATGTACTTTGAAACCGGCTATGATATTCAGTTACCAGACAAACTTTAATATATTCAAATACTATGAAAATAAATCATGATGGGTATTTCACAATGGATCATGTAGACTAAGATTTGCAGTAAACACATGGTAAAGATAGACTGAAATCTCTTTTGAATGCTTATTGGAAACATGTTTAGCTCATGAAAAAGTACTTTGAAACTGTATAATATTCTGATACCACACAAACTTATACATGTATTCAAAATACCATTAAAATACATCGGGATCAGTATTCAACAATGGATCGTGAAGACTGACAATGGTTGCAGTAAAGACAGACTGAAATCTTTTGGAGGATTGTTGGAAACAATTAATAAAATGATAAATAGTTATTTCTAATAAATTCAAATTTAAATGTTTATTTGACATGTCTTTGAGGGTTAAGGAACCATATTTTCTTTGATTGTCAGATTCTATTGCAGTCGTATACTTAATCCATGTACGTCTTTTTTTTTTACAGGCAAATGCATGAACTATCAGTTTATCATACTTTATATATAGTAATTAAGTAAAAAGCTGACCATGCACTCATAGATTTGTTTACACCTGAAATGAAACTACAAAGCAGGTGACACATGTGTTCCTTGAAACATGTACTCTTGTTTAAATATGTTGTCTACATATACACTTAATGTCTTCAGCATATCCCTCTTATCGGTTAAATTTACAAAATTAACTGACATGTCTGCTTTTAACAGATTTTATCTAAAAGTATTTAATGATTTTATTGCAATTATAAATTCATTAAATCTATATGTCCTTTATTTGTCACACATAGTCTTTTAATTAGGGGTGTATTGTTATACCAGTTAATAATACATGTATGGAGATACCTTTCAACTGAAGTTGGTTTCCAGTTAAAAGCAATAAATTATCTTAACTCTTTTTTTTATTTGTCAATTTAAAAATTAGAAAAGAATTCAAGTCATCGTAAAGTACACTGTACTTTACAAAATGTAATTTCTTTTTTTTGGTTTTTTTTTTTTGTTTGTTTTTGTTTTGAGATATAGAATTTTGTATTAATTATTCTATAAATTATATTTAGGCCAAACAAAAAAATATGTGTGGTTCCGCTTACACTTCCAAAAAAATTAGGGTAGGTAGGTAGGGATTTTTTTTAAATTTTTTTTTTTTTAACAAAATGATTTTCTTAATTTTTTTCTAAATAATACCTATCACTGCTTTGCAAATGGCATTTAGATGTGGTGTGATAATATACTAGTCAATATTGGTCGGGGACACCTATATGCTAGCTTGCTTTGGATTTAACACTATTAAACACTTGCAATATGTTTTGCAAGGAGGCCGTCATTGCTGAAACTAAAACTTAAACTGGAGCCATTGATGGAAATCAAAATTCCGGAAAAAATATGAAAATTGCCAAAAAAAAAGTTAGGGTCGGGGGTATAAAATAGGGAAGGTCGGGTAACCGGAACCACACATATTTTTTTATTTGGCCTTATAAACAAACCTTATTTCATAATGATTGAAGAATGCATTTATTCCTAACAATTTTACAGTGAAAACTTTTATGATTTTTTATATTCTACAGTAGAACACGTAGAACAGAAGTAAAAAAAAAAGTGATATGCATCAATATATATCATAAAACACAATTAAGTCAAAATATTGTCATGATTAATTTTTTTTTTGCATTTCGATACTCATCCCTACTTTTAACTCAATGAATCTTTACTCTAGACTTTGTAATTTTTGAATGAGAAAGCATTTATGAGATTAGATTCAAAGCAAAGCTAGGGGCTGACAACAAAACAAGAGGCCTATGGGCCACAACACTCACCTGAGTCACTTTGGCCCTGCTGTTCTGCAACAGGTTTTCCCCCAATATACATGTATTTCTATGTAAAATTTTGATTGTATTTTGTGGCCCCATCATATATATAGTGGCCATTATTTGTTAAAAAAAATGAATCTACGCTACCAGAGGATGCTTCCACATTAATATGATTCATCATGGCTTTGTTGTTCTTGAGAAGAATTAAGCGTTTTAAAGATTTACCCAATATAATCCCTATATTGTGCCCCAGAAAGCTTGCACCTAATTTTCATCTTTTCTAGTCCAATATTTCTTGAGAAGAAGATATTTAAATTTTTTTCCTAATATTTCAATGTAAAAGTTTGATCCCCTATTGTGCCCCACCCTACCCCTGGGGGACATGTTTTGAACAATTTACAATCTACACTACCTCAGGAAGCTTTCAACTACATTTTATCTTTACTAGTCCAGTAGTCTTGAGAAGAAGATTTTTAAAGATTTTTTTTTCCTATATATTTCAATGTAAAACATCCATTCCCTATTGAGGCCTCACCTTACCCCCAGGGGCCATGATCTGAACAATTCATCATCTACAATTCCTTAGGCAGCATTTATATAAGTTTCAGCTTTTCTGCCACAGTGGTTCTTGAGAAGGAGATATCTAAAGATTTTTCCTATAAGTAAGTAAGTATTGTGGCCCCATCGTGCCCCCCCCCCCCCCAGTGGCAAGATTTAAATAATCTAGAATCTACACTACCTCAGGAAGCTTCCATATAAGTTTCAGCTTTTCTGTCTCATTGCTTCTTGAAAAAAGATGTTACAATGACCCCACCCTATTTGCATTTTCCTGATGATCTCCCCTTGGAAGGGAAATTGGCCCTTCATTTTAACAATTTAGAATCCCCTTTGCTCAAGAATGTTTTGTACTTTGCTTAAATTTGGCCAAGTGGTTCTTGAGAAGAAGTTGAAAATGTGAAAAGTTTACAGATGGACGGACAGACATGTGATCAGAAAAGCTCATTTGAGCTTTCATCTCAGGTGAGCTAAAAACTCAAAAAGAGGGAAGGGGTGTAAAGTCATACATGCACCTTGTCCTTTAGCTTTCATGAAAATTGAAAATATATGTATTTAAAAAAATCAATGAGAGAAACTACATGTAAAAATTAGTTAAAATTAAATGGTAGTAATCATAATTGTTAGGTTATTAACAATCAAGATAAATGTTTAATTCAATTACCAATAAAGAGATCCAAGTTTAAAGCCATATTTCCAAAGGTTGATTCTTTGTCATCAAAACTCCTAAAATCCGTCTTAGTCTTAACTTGCACATCTTCCTTGAATTTTTGACAATCATGATTTTTGTTAATTTTGTCAGTTCAACAGTATTTCCTGACTTTATGGAAGTCTGAAGAAAGTCCTGAGGATTACACTCTACTATTCTTTTTTTTCACACTCCCATGGAAGTTATTCTGATTTGTCATATTTGGTTTCTCACAATCCTTAAATCTTTCTAATGTGGCTATACATGCTTCCTTTAAACTTGGTTGATATCATGTGTTCTATAATCCACCACAAGCTGTAGAACAGACGTCCTTCTTCTTACAGGGTTTGTTGCTAAGAAATGTTCATAACTGAAAAGATAAAGTGATTCCCATCTATTAGAATGTTGAAGACCTTTAATGAAATATCAAGATTACAAACAGTATTCAAGCTCAAAAGAGGTGGGATGAGTTATAATGGAGGAATAAGCATCCCCTGTCAACTAGTTACACCTGCTGTGAGCTCCTTGTCATAATAGGGTGAATGGATAAATCTGTAGACACTTCAGTATGAAAATAACAGCCTAACAATTTCTGTATGAAAACATCAGTAAACACTTGACTTATCTGTAGACTGTATTTGTTAACAAGGTCATTGTAACAAACACAGAATTTGCAAAATGTTGGCTATACCTGTATCATCAACTTATTTGCCAATAGCTTGCCTCATTTTAGTTATTGTTTGTACTTGGTACACATGCTCTTGCCCTTTGAATCAAATGGGAGACTTAAACTCCATATGCAGGTGATAATGCTACATAAGTAAGAGAAGTTAATAATAGAAAAATTAAAGTTACGTGTTTATCATAAAGTTTAATTGTTACCTTGCCATTAATGTCTTTAGTAAAATATTCAAATATGAAACAGATGTATAAGCCTCTGTGGTGTCTTCAATTTTGAGTTCAAAGAGATATACATGTGAATGAAAAAAATTAAATATAATGAATAGTGATCAATTTAAGAAAATCTATAAGCAATACAAATCTGTGAAGTGCCTGGCAAAAAACAAGGACCCTCTGGAAATTCCAGAGGTGGGGTCAGATGTCTAGGAGGAGTAAGCATCCTCTGTTAACCGGTCACACCTGAATAAGTTAATGTAGGAATAAAAATGAATAATTACTATCCATTGATAAAGCATCATCAGTATATCATTATACATAATATATCTAGTAATGTAGCGTTAGTATGTATAGGACAGGAAATACAAAATATAGTTATTTATAAAACAGTGTATTTTCAACTTCAGGTCATCATATTAAGAAAAATCCTATATTTCCAAACATTGAGGAGGACTGGTGGCTTTCATTTGTTTCATTGTATTTAATCATGTAAATAATGTACCTGACCACAAACATATGGCATGTGGCTTACATGTAATCGTGCTATATTACGCATGCATCAAAATTTAATTCTAATTATTGCTTAGTGTTCACACGGAGTTAATGCAAAGAAATTTGATGCGCAGTAAATTAATTTGAATTAACTTATTTGCATAAATTCTCCATGTGAATGTGGTTCAAATTTAATTTGTATTAACTTACGTTCAATTCGAATTAAACCCTCCTTGTGAAGACGACATAAAATGTACATATCTCATACTGTACACCCTCAACAAAGTTTCACAACCAGTTAATACATATTCTTTTCAGCTGTCAAAATCACATTCGCATGATTAAAATGAAAGTGAATGTTAAGTTGAATACCGATCCCGATTAGACTAAAGACAATTAAAGGACTGTTAAGGACCCTCTATACACTAAATCAAAAATGTTTTTAGTCCAAGATAAATAAATTGAATACTTTATTTGCATGTGTTTTCTCACTTAAATAAACAATGTGTAGAGATTTCTGTTCATCAATACTTTAATGTCTTTGAATATTTTTCTTAGGGTGTAATGTACCCTATGCTGAACATGTTGAAATTCAAGAAAGTAAAGTAGATCTGATTAGCTCATTATGTATGCCTTTATATAATATGATTTTCTTATTCAATTGTTAAGAATGCTTGCATTAACTAAAATTCAATAACAGACTGCTAGGATTTCAATAGATTTATTAAATTTGATTTAGACCCCAGGGCGAATTAGTCTCTATCTCCATAAAATACCATAAAATCAGAGCTCTTTGGTGTACAGTATATTCAAGTGGAATATAATTTAAAATTGACATAGAGTGTAATTGATTTGTATGTGAAAACTGAAATTAAAATAATCATGGAGGGTAAAAAATTGGGAAGGGGTTACAATCTTTCAGATTTCTTCTAATTCCATCAAAAAATATATACAGAGAGCTTAATTTATGCAATCTAAGTAATACACAGATGATAACATTTCTTGTTCATTTGAAATTACATATAATATTCTTGGCACACAGACTTGTTCACTATCAACAACATGTTTACCTTTTAAATGAAATTTTAATATCTGGTTAAAGTGGTAACAGATACTCTTTATTAACAAACTGCTCTTAACATAATTGATCACTCAGGTTTACAGGGTCTGCCAGTCAATCGATATCAAACATTAATTAATAATGATTCCCTCTAAAAGATTATGAGGCCCCTTATATTTTTTGTTGTTATTGTCTTGTCTTTTATTGTCTTGTTTAGTATTTTTAATACACTTACAAACAACTTGTTCCTTAACACTAAATAATGATTTAAGTTGACTTTGGTCTGAGTAATTACTGTGCTTTTCCAGTCACTGCACTTAAAAATACTAAATGCATCTGCTGTAAGTTTTACTCGCATTAAGGTGTTGATTATATACTGTAGAAGCACAAATTTTCGTGGGGATAAAATTTTGTTATTTGTTATCTGAGAAGGTTTTGTGGGCATTAAATTTCGTTGTTACGAATGTAACCCTACTCATTATACTGAAATGTAAAATTTCATGTGGGATTTAATTTCGTTGAATAGATAATGTTAACAATTATGGTTAACAATGAACAACTGTCGAAATAAAGGAATGTTTCTGCTTTAAAAGCATATACATGTATTGTATATATATATATATATACATGTATATATATAAAATGTAGCTTCTCTGGCCTTTCTATTGATAATGTAAATAAGTGAGCAGAGTCATCTAGTGTGATTACATTTTTTATTACTTTGAGGGGAAAAATCATAAAACCTGTTGAAATTTTTGATTTTTTTATTCTATCGGTAATTGCTAATAGATCCAGTTTTACATAATGCCAATGTTAGCTTCACTAATTTATGCATAATTAATCCCATATTCAAAAAAAAAACAACAAAAATTACTTTTCCCTGCATTTTCCAGTGCCTCATGTTAGAGTGGGAGTGAGTTTAAAAAAACTGCAAGATTTCAAACAGCTGCAAATCTCTGTTATTTATGTCTCTATGATGTACACCCTTGATGACAGAAAACTTTTGAAGGATTTTGAATATTTGTAAATGTTCAATCATAATTCCATATAACATACTTGTATTCTCTGCATTTGGAAAATCTTAATTTTCATTTATTTTTTTTTTTTAAATCCCTGAATGGAAGTAAATCTCTTCATTTTGAATTTCAGTGGTTGCATTATACCCCAATAAATACATGTATAAGTGTGTATCCCTCCTTCTTTGTTTTTTTGTTTTTTTGTTTTTTTTTTGTTTTGTTTTGTTTTTTTTTTTTTTTTTTTTGTTTTTGTTTTTTTTTTTTGCTGAAAATAAAAGTGTGCACACAATAAAAGAGAATTTATAGTAGTTCTTATTTGTTTAATATATTAATACATTACATGGTATACCCCAATGACAACAATGGCCAATGGTGTAGTATTAATTATCTGTCCTGTTTATTATGGAAAATAGCTAAATAATGAAAATTATTGGTATGACTGTCAGTTGCAAACATCTTTTTTTTTAATATCCCATTTAAATAATTTTATTTTACTCTTTATCTGGACTACATGTATCACTGGTGAAGTTCCATCTTTGTCCTTTAAACTGAACCTTTAATTTTTTTATACTGGCACAATTAACTGATAACATACAGACTTAATTTTAAATTTATTGATCCTCCCAAATATTTGCCGGTCTTGGGCCAACAGACTGTCATTAAGGTAAATAAATATTACATGTAAAACACTGATTCATGACTGTAGTATGAAACAATGCAGGAAAAGGTATACAGATCATGCTGATACACAAACACATTAACATGAACATGAACTCAGATCATTAGAACTTCAGGTAGTGTTTGTTTTTTTCCTGACATGTAGCTTAAATTAATTATACTATTAAATGAATGAATATTATATAATTGCATTCATACCATAAACTTCTCCCTGCTGTGTTCTGGGAATCCATGAACATTGATAATTTTCTGATCCGAAATCAATGAATCTACCTGAAATGTATTATAATAATAACATCAGTTTTAAAACATGAATTCCAGGATGATAAATAAATAGGAAAATATTCTTTAATGACTGTAACTTAGTAGAAGTCGCATCATTTTCATGAATCATCACAGTCAGGGACCTATATACTAGTATATAGGTCCCTGTCACAGCTATATTTACATATTCTCTCAAAATTGTCCCAATGCAATAATGAGTGCATGTCAATAAAATGACAAGTATCAATCTTTAAATTCTCATACTTTGAAATCTTTGTACACTGTACATTAAAATTAGGGCATGTCACTGTCTAAATGCACAGCATGTCTTTGACATAAATATCAACTTATATTATAAGCTGCACTATATCTTCAGTTTGTCAGGGCTAGAAGATCACGTTGACGCAGGGACCTATACATGCTTAACAATTATATCATTATGTCCCTGGGAGAAGTAAACAGCTGCCCCCCCCCCCCCCTCCCCTTTCATAATTTAAATGTGCAGAAATTATTTCTAATATTCACGCCTCAGAAGTACATGTGTTTTTTTAGTTGACAGCTTAATGTGTACACAATATTAACAATGATTTTAGTAGCCCACGTACCTATATATAACCCAGGCAGACTGAACGTTTCCCCTGCCCATAACACATGGCGTGACCGACTCTACTTTCGTTTTTAATACGAAACCTTCGAACTTGACATGACACATAAACAAGATGCGAAACGCAAGAAAACATTTAAAATTTTTGACAATATATTTTGCTACACATTGCAAAAGATCAACGTTGATTCAATAAAATTGAAATATTAGATGCAGAAATAGTTTCTCTCCGCGAGTACAACAAATGCCAATACGGAACGTGTTTATTTTCCCAGAGACATACATGTAGATATAGAAAAAAATTTCTTTATGTTTTTACTAACATTAATAATAATAACTTTTAGTATATTGGTTAAAACCATTTATACTGCAATCATGCAACGATGCACATTGTAACTATACAGCATATACATGTATACATACCGTAGGAAAAATATTGAGTAGACAATAATGCCGTAATGTCATAATGGACACATATCTTTACTCATTAATTCATAGGCCATATTTAATACATAAAATTTTTCATTTATTTATTTACAGATTTTTTACTTACCTTTTACAAAGTTTACTTCATCCTCATGTACATGACTAAGTGTGAAACGGGTACTGTATTATGATGTCATTTACGACGTCATTTGATGTAACGAGCATGCGCACTCGCAATGTGTGTAAGTCTCGCCGAGAAGAAAAAATGATGGATCCGTGGTCATCTTATACACACTCATTACACAGATCTCATGCATCCGGTCAAATTAACACTTCATTTTTTTGAAATGGGATGCATCCTAGGACATTTTCCAGTTGATTTATGATAAAATCCAACTGAACACCACCATTTCGTGTTCATTTGGATTTTTCCGTGTTCATTTAAACGTGTGCCGTCTAAAGCACGTGTCCAATTGACAGGGTTTACAAACACACCTACACACACACACAAAATGTTTGTTTTAAATACTATTAAATATTATTCCTACTTTAGACTTCAACTACCCAGTGATTAATTATCAATATTATCGAGGCCGAGTCTAATTATTTCCACCCTAGATACTTTGATAAATTTTCTTGAATGAATTTTTAATATTATATTAATTATTTTAAGATAAAAAAAATCAAATGTTTACCATCCCGATTTCTTAGGAGGCCATCTCAAAAGTTGTCAAATTTTACCATTCAACCCTATGGGAATTTGTTGGAAAAGCGCCAAATTATCAAATTTTTCCCATGTTTTTTTGTATTTCTGCCCTGGGGATTTCCTTTTCAGTCAAATACATGAAAGTTATTGTAAAAAGTCACCAAATAGGGAAATTTCAAAAAAGTTGACCATCTGGTTTGGTCTAGGAATTACATGTATTAAAAAGTTTATTTTTTCCAATGCCTAATACCTCTAAATTTGCCATATTGCAGCATACATTTGTATATAACGGGGCGGATAAATTATTTTGGTAAAAAATAACAGTGTTTAGATTGCTGGATGTTTCTTTTGATGTTCTGTCAACAGTTTTTAATAAAATGTCCATGGACGTCTTGAAAACTCAAGCGAGTCATGTGTCATTTTTCAGCGTCATGCATTGCTTTGAGAACCGGAGAACATTGACGTCGTTAAAGCCATTTCAGCGTTTATTCCTAATCATTGTCTTAAAATCACATTTTAAGACCCATAAACTTTACAGATGATATAATATAATGTTAATTTTGTATCAAAATTACAATACTTAGGATAAGTGTTATGTTGCACCTACGAATGCATGAAACTAAAAAGTTGTGCAAAGTTATGCGTACTCGAATTAGACTCGGCCTCGTTAATATTTTGTCCTTTGAAAATTTGCATCTTTATAGACATTTCCTGGCAATATAATCCTTTATTGCTTTATTCCATGATCATTTTATGTCTTTATGCAGCAGAGCATATTGCTGAAATGGAAAAAAAATCTAATTCCACTCTCTGTCCACGCATTGTCTTTACCTGAAATATTCTCTATAAAGGATTGAAATGTATCTGTAACTTATTTTATTTTTCTGATTATTTTCATGCTTAACTTTCGAAAATCATTAGAACATTAAATGCCTTTAATTAAGCTTAGGTATTCTATCAAATGAGAAGTCGCTCTTTCACACTTTACACAACCAATATACATTTCATTTGTCTGTACATATGTTTAAACATGAAGAAGGAGTGTCTTTATCTGAAGTTACAACAACGGTCATTCTTGCTGGAAGTTGCGGTCTCTCTTCAAGAGTCGTGCATAACTCATCTAATACAGTTCCGCCAAGTGTTTGATCCCGAGATTCTATGTGGTTCGAACCATCATCGATTTCCATGTAAACTGACGCTATGTCGTTGTCCTCGTTAGCTATATTTACTGTCCATTTTCTACATATTGACATCGACATCCATATTATTGTACACACCACTATTATTGATATCACAATACTTCCAATATATATTACTACTGTTTTCAGCTTTGTCGTTGTTTTTTGATTTTTACCTCTGTCATTTTTCTGCATTGTGGTCATTTCTTTTTTAATTGTTACTGTTATATTTGATAAATGTGTAGTTGAGTCTGTAAATTTTTCAAGAGGAAAAACACCTAGAAAAAAAGAAAGGACACTGATACATGTAATACTATAGTTTCACTATTTAAGGTATGCAATGCATAAGGAAGGAATCTTGAACACTTTTGAATCATTTTAAACTAGATAAATATGTATTGCTAAATAATGATGAAAGTAAAATATACCAAATTTACATGACTGACAACATATTAGAAGCCGGCTATTTTGGACCTTAAACGTTTTACAAGAGTTATCTGCGCTTGATGAAAGATGAAAATTTCAATTTTTTCCAAATATCTTTGGTAGATGATTTATTTTATTTCATATTTTAATTAAGAGAGAGTTTATGCATATTTTCACCAAGAGATTTGTATGAACTTCAAATTACTTTATACAATATCTTAATAAAACATGCACTGCCCATCGACTTCAATGTAAAATTCAAGGTGCAATTAATAGGACAATAAACAAAATTTTGTAAATTCCTTTGGTGGAGTACTTTTATTTGATAACACCTTCAAAAATCAAAATGCTACCATGATTAAAAATATAAGACCATTCATTTATTAGGTACAAAATATGGTCGTTATACATTGAATACCTTAACTGAAGAGACAATGTTAATGAGTTATCAACCTTTTGTTGATGCATCCAGAAATTTGTTGTTTGTACATCCCAAAACACGATCACATGTGTTATTGTCACACTGACATATGTACTGACATAGCCGACCATAGAAGGGATAGTGACACTGACGGGAACAATTATCTCCAAAAAATCCGGGAGGGCACTCTGAAAAGAGTGTGTATTCAACATCATTTGAGAAATGATGAGCAGTAAATTTGTATAAGGTCATGCGATCATATTTTAACAAACCTCTGCATTCTCCATTATATAGAAAGAAGTGTGTGCAGCAGTTTAACCTGGAATAAAATACAATAACTAGAAATCTATGTATCCATAATCATGATTACTATTTAAAAAATTGAATAACACATATAAATCAAATATTCATGTATTTCGTCTCCATATATCAGTGAAAATTACCGGAATGTAACGTAAAACAACATACAATCAATTATTTCGACATGTTTTGTCAGAAAGAATATTTACTCACTTTCCGCTTTTATCTGGATGAGTGTTTTTGCACTCCGCTTTCGTTAGTATTCCAATATTTAAACAAAAAAGAAAACTTTTTAACATAACATATTCCATATCAATAATTCCATCTACAAGATTAATGATGCGCAACAACTTTGAGAATTTAACCAAATAAATCATTTTGCAGCTATTGAAATATTTGAATTATTCAAGGAAAAAAAACTTCCGTGTGTTAAAAGCAAATTATAAAATTAATTAATATGTAAACGACAGTTTTAATCATTTGGAACGAACGACGCGGACGGAAGTTATTCTCTGGACTTTGTCCCAGATCAATTTTGCCTGATAACAATATTGTAACTTTTTAAAATGATTTGATAGATGGTAGAAACGTATACCACTGAATAATATAAATTAACTGATTTATTGCATGGGAGTACTCAATGAATGGATGATATTAAATAAGAATAGGATTTTTAAAATATCTGACGGACTTGATGACAATCTTAACACAGAATCAGAAAAAATGTTTGAATGTTTCAGATTAGTGTTGCATGGAGGAGAATGTGTCATCTGCTAATCATTCATGTTTTGCTATTGTTTTTGGTCGATTTACCTCTGCAATAAATCAATCTTTTTAGTCTAACAACAAAGCTTTATGATAAAGGTGATGATTTTTCAATCGTCAACTTTCCTTACTTATGCAGAAATATACCCTTATCACCTGCACATGGGGTGTATGAAATATGTATATCTCTCAGTTGATTCGATACGCAAGAGCATGCTGTTCGTGTGAACAATTTCTAAAACGAGGTAAGTTATTGACAAAAAAGTTGATGAAACAAGAATATCAACAGTCTCGTTTAAAGTCATCATTTCGTAAGTTCTATGATTGATACAATGACCTTGTCAGCAAATATACAATCTATCATTAAGTCATATGCTGACTAACGTTTTTCATACTATTTGTTAGGCCATTATTTACACACTGAATTGGGGTTTCAAACTTCACATGTGTATTTCTTATGACAGGACCTTACCACTTATGACATGGATACCAACAACTTTGACCTTTTGACCTTGACCTAGGAGTTTGACCTACTTTTGAAAAACTTTAACTTTGGCCATAACTTTTGAATGGTTGGTGCTAGAGCTTTCATACTTCACATATGTAGTCTATGTGACAAGACCTTCCTTTATATACCAAAAACTTTGACCTTGAAGTTTTACTTACTTTTTAAAAAACTTTAACCTTCGTCATAACTTTTGAACAGTGGGAGCTAGAGCTTTCAATTTCACAGGTATATTCCTCGAGACAAGTCCTTTCTTTGGGTACCAATTTTTTTTTTATCTTTTAGCCTGGATTTTGACTTGCATTTGAGAAACTTTAACCTTCGCCATAAGCTGCCATACGGAGTATCAGAGTTTCACAAACACATCTTGTTTATTACTGTTGTTGTGTGAGATAAAATTATAAATGAATAAATAAATCATTAGAGTATAATTCATATTATCATACCTTCAAATCTAGGCGTATATAGTCACGTGGAAAGTTCATCTGTCTCACTCAATGAGGGTATGGCACGTAAGATATCTCACCGTTGTATTTGGTATTCACAATACAATAATCGCTACAAAATCTATGCTTTCAAGGTACAGTTTTGTGTGTGTTTAATCCATATATTTGTGATACTCTGAATATCATAATTGTTTCATCTTCACAAAACGTAGGTAAAAAAAATTCATATCATAAACAAACAAACTGGCGAATAAATAAACAGTCAACTAATGAAGTACCACCACACAAAACCTACATGTACACAAATTGCATGGCTTATGATATTTGATTAAAAGTGAGTATTTTAATAGAGTAAAATGAGTCGCAACTGTAACCCCTCAAATTAAATATTTCCTTTGAAGGTAACCTGATCATCTTAAATTGCTATTTATGTTGAACAATTTTACTTCATAAATCAGAATTGTACAGATAGAAAATTCATTCATAAAAATCTGTTTAGATGTTAAAATACTTATCAAATTGAAAGTTTTTCTTTTCTAAAGCTAGCGGAGCATTTTAAATTGAAATAATTATCTCCATTAGCTTTGTCTTCTAAATCATGGAATTAATATCTCTTTATAGGAGTTGATTTGTTTTGATTGCAATTTAAAGCTGTGGTCAGTAGAGCAATTATCTTTTCCCAACAAGAGAGAACTCTAGCTTAATTAATGACACACACCTTCTTTTACTTTATTATTGATCAAACAACAAAGATTAAAATATAATAAATGTGTGTTTCATAGCTGAATAGACCTAAGAAGGGTGGTTCAAAATTCATATTTATAAACATAGATAAAAAAAATTTAAAATTTACATAATGATTAGAAGGAAACTAGTTTATTATTTTTAAACCAATCATTTAATTATTTGTTTCTAAGCATTAACCTTAGATTTTGTATAATTGAAGGATTGGGGATATGTTTAACAATAAAATAAAAACCAGTAAAATGGGGAGGTAGTGGTGACGATATATTATGAATATATCATGAATGTGTATTATATAAAGTAATTGAATGTAATTGAAAAAGTAATGGAAATTACATGGTATTTTTTTCAGTGTAATTAATTAAATTACAATTACAAGTACTTGAAAAATGTTCAATTACAAATTGCTTCCAATTACTTCGAAAAATGTAATTAATTACAGTCAATTACAATTACTTTTTTTCAATTACCCCATCCCTGCAATGAACAATAGACATTCCAAAGAAAAACAAACCATAAAAATTCTATGAAAAAGGAGATGGATTATGCATATATATTTTTTTCTTCAAAATATAGAGGCAGATGAGGATGAATCGAACATTCATCGATTGACTTCTTGGTTGGCTTTGTGACTGCACATTTATTTTCGTTTTGAAATCGTAAACAACCAAACGCTAGCCGTGTAAAAATATCTAACGGAAAATAAATGGGTTTGTTCACTACGAACTTAATTTGAATCGGATGTTTGAGGAATGTTTGTCATATTCAAAGTGTCCAAAAATTAGTTGAGAGCCAATTCAAATCAAATTACTAACAAAAGACACCTTAACAAACTAAACAAATAATCCAAGTATTAATGTTATAGAAAATCAAAGTAAAGTTTTTACCATATTAAAGAAAAGTCCTTTTACTTTAAAGTTCAAATTGTTAAACATGTTCATTGTATATCATTAATCTCGATTTTTCGATTGAATCAAATGAAAGTTTTCAAATGTTTCAGTATTCTTTCTTTTTAAAGTGAATAAAATTTTTTATTCACTTTAAAAAGAAAGAATAGTGAAACATTTGAAAACTTTCAAGTTTATAAGTATCATAGTAAATTATGCATTATAGTGGTTATGTTTAGACAACTTTGAATTGAGGTATCACCTCTGTCATTTTTCTGCATTGTGATCATTTCTTTTTTAATTGTTACTGTAATATTTGATAAATGTGTAGTTGAATCTGTAAATTTTTCACGAGCAAAAACACCTGCAAAAAAGATAGGACACTGATACATGAAATACTTTACACAGATAAAACAGTAGTTTTACTATTTAACTGAAGAGACAATGTTAATGAGTTATCAACCTTTTGTTGATGCATCCATAGATGTGTTGTTAGTACATCCTATAACATGGTCACATGTGTTATTGTCACACTGACACATGTACAGACAAAGTCGACCATAGTAAGGATAGTAACACTGACGGGAACAATTGTCTCCAAAAAATCCGGGTAGGCACTCTGAAAAAGGATTTTATCAAACATCATTTAAAAAAATTTTAGAGGCAGGTTTGTAAAGCCTTGTGATGATACTACATATGAAACATACCTCTGCATTCTCCATTATAAAGAAAGAAGTGTAAACAGCAGTTTAACCTGAAGTAAGACAATATAACTATAGGCATATATAAATATAATAGTAATGAAGTAAAATAAGATCAAAGATAAATCAAAGCCATCGAAACATTTCAAATCATTATGATAGCGAACGTCCACTTACTTTCCACTTTGATCAGGAATAGTGTTATCGCAGTCTCCTCTTACATGTGTATCAATGCTCATACAGAGAAGAAACAGTTTTATAACAGTATAATCCATTTCCACTAATATTCTTATATTTAAAAAGTCAAATTGGTATGAAACTTTATCTAAATTTTGGGAAATTAAGGGAAACTTCCCGAAAAGATGAATATTTATTTAAATAAAGATGTTCTTCCGTGTTGAGTAAATATTATACTATATTATATGATAGATTTCTAACAGATTTGAAGTAAAAACGAATACATTCAACACACAAACCATAGTAAGCATATACAAAATTCCAGTAATATTATTGTTGGTGTTTAATTTTTTCTCAAGGACAAGATACTAGATATTGTAATATTCCGGGGAAAAAAAAAAAAAAAAAAAAAAAAAAAAAAAAAAAAAAACCTTCACGATGTGATTTTCAACATTTCTAGGGGGTGTATAAATTAGACAAAACTAATAGTTAGTCCTTTGAATTCATACCTCTGTGTTTTTGAGGGATTTTCAGCAATCGTTACAAACAACCAAACGCTAAACGTATAAAAATATTTAACAGAAAATCAATGAGATTTTTCAATGAGAACTTGATTTGAATCTTATGTTTGAGGAAGGTTTGTCATCTTCAAAAGGTCCAAAAATTAGTTGGGGGCCAGTACAGTTGAAAATGACTAACAAAAGATACCTTAGTAAACTAATAGTAATCAAATAATCAAAATATTTACTAATTTAGTAAATTAAAGTTAAGTTTTTACCATAGTAATGCAAGGTGCTTTTCCTTGATGTTCAAATTGTTATACATTGTATATAATTAATCCCGATTACTTTATTAATTACCAAATGAGATTTTTTATATTAAAAGGAAAGATTACTTGTACATGTATATTCCTGTATCCTCTCCAAACTTGCCATCTGAGAGATAGTAAAGTTTCAAAGTATCATAGTTATTGAAAGGTATTAAAGTAAGACATCAAAATACATCTATTTATCTACAGGTACCTGTATGTACTATCCCTAACTATAGTTCACCTTACTGAATAATAGTTATCTTTTAGTAAATTTTTGCCTCGGATTTGTAAACAGAACGACATTTTCGTAGAAAAATTATTGAAATGTATAGTTAACGTATTTTTTTTAGAGAAAGATATTCTACTGTGTTGAGTAAATATTATACTATATTACATTATTTCTGTTAGATTTGCAGTACAAAAGAAAACACATCCAACCATAGCAAACAATTACAAAATGAACTGGTAATATTACATTTTTATTTTTTTCTATCAAGGCAACAAACTAATTCAAAACATTGTTTTATTCCTGTAAAAAAAACCTTCAAGATACTTTTGCAACACTTCCTAGGGTTGTATAGATTAAACTAATTAAACCAATACTTTGTAGTTACATGTTTATTTAACCTTTTGAATTCATCCGTGTTTTGTTTAAGGATTTTCAGCCATATTTAATCTGAGGATTTGTTGAAAACACTGTATCCCCTTCATGGATTTCCCTTCCAAAGTATCTTACGGCTTTTGGACTTTTTCAGTTCACACAATTTTTTTCAAACAAAATATGTGTTGTCACATAATTAATATCCAGAACAAATCAAAATTAAGGACCTTCTAATGCCGCTGATTTTTTTTTTTTTGGGGGGGGGGGGGGTTGTAAGAAATACTATACGATATAAACTTGCAAAACTGAAGTAAATCTATCTAAACATAGGGAACATGTATCTGTTATCCTCTCCCGGGAAAGTACGATGGCCGACAGCGGCCGCCACTTTTGATTCTGAATATTGTCGTTTTGTACAGCTTTTTTGTCAATTTTCATTGACAAATTACAACTAAACTGGTAATGCTATATATCCATATACAGTTTTTACACTGACAATTTACGCTGGAGAAAATCATTAAAATTCTTTCTTGTGATATGAAATGAAGATACATAAAACAGGTTACTTGAAGGTGTTAAGCTTAAGGTTGTAGCAGAACAGCAAGGTCGGGGTGATTACAGATTAGTATTGTCTTCTAGATATTTAATATTATATGCTTTCTCGACAGATTGTAGTAATTAATTCATAAAATTCCATGTTGGTGTACCTGCTGGTCACATCATAGGTAACCAGGATGATTTTGTTCATAATCGGACGTGTCTTTGATGTATGAATTTTGTTTTTTGAACAATGCGCACGAGGAAATGATCACATTAGTTACATGTACCTATATTTTCATTCCCTTGCCACATTGAAAAATAATTGGCCGACCAGGTGGAAGTCTTGAGAGGTTGCGTTGGCCTTTAAAAGTGTTTCAAGCATTTAGTTATTAATTTTATGTATTTAGAGAGTAAATACAGACTCCCACATTTAAGGTTGTCATTTTATTCTTGCTTAAAAACGGGTATATTTCCGTATCTAAAGTTTGGTTTTTGATACATTCCATAAACTTTTGATGCTCACATGTAGAGCTACTAAATCCTGTTTTTCTACCTCTACATAATAGGTAGGATCGAGTTGTCTCGTACACTTTGAGGATCGAGATATATCCATTATATTCATGTATATCCATTACAACAAAATTATTACTTTTATTCGCCTTTTAATTACAATCCCAAGAATATCTTTTTAACGATACAACAAGGTGACAGAATGACGATTTATGTCTAATCTAGGATTAACTGGGTTACGGTATCTCAGACTAATTGAGGGTGAAAATCATTAAAATGCTCCTCATCTCTTTCAAGCCACCTGTTTTATGTATCTTAATTTCATATCACACGAAAGAATTTTAATGTTTTTCGCTGGTGTGAATTGTCAGTGTAAAAAGTGTACATGTACATATAGCATTACCAGTTTAGTTGTAATATGTCAACGAAAATTGACAAAAACGCTGTACAAAATGACAATATTCTTAATCAGAAAGTGGCGGCCGCTGTCGGCCATCGTAGGAAAGAGTTCAAAGACAACATGAACAGAAACCATTGCTTTTTTTTTGCTACTATGTAGAGAAAACACATGCAAAAAAAGTCTTCAATCACTTCATCTTGCTCTAATTATTAAGCTGAGAATACGTGGAATGATTACAAACTGTAACACACCATTCAATTACTCAGTATAAAGCAAAGGCCAGATCAATCTTTCCTGATTGAAGTACCATGGAATTGGAACTCTTCAGTGTGCAGTGTATAGAGGGCCCTTAATGACAATAAGAAATAAAAAAACAATTCGGGAAAATTATGGGAGGAAAATGAAGCATGATATTGATCTGTTTATTTCGACTCTATGTTATTTAGGGTTTCTTTTTTTGTTTTTGTTTTTTTTTTTTTAATTTTCCAAGGATTTCCGGGATTTTCAAAGATTAATTTGCTGCAAGTTACAGTTAAATAAACTCAGGTTTGATTTAGCTAATACGAATATTCTTTAGCAAAGTGATTCTGAAAATTAATTCATTCAATAAAGCATGTAGTAAAATCTAAAAGTAAAATCTGAAGTTGTTAAAATGATTTAGTTTTTTCCTCATCACGTACTGTAGTAGCGGCGGGCAATTGTGAGGTATTGTAAAGAGATATTTATCTTTTATTATCTTTATTGCATACATAGTAATGATACACAAGCAGGGTTTATCAGAACTAAAATAACTAATCTTTCTTTCAAATATAAATGAAAACGTTTGTCTAGACAGAACAATGGCCTAAAACCTTCATTTTTAATTTGTAAAACATCTGGCCGTGTAAATCATAGATAAGTTGCAAGAATAAAATGTATATGTGATTGAGTCAATACGCATTGAAATATCATGGATCTTTATATTAACCGAACACGAGACAACGATTGTGACATCAGCTATATATTGTTCAAGCAATGAAACTGTTTTTATTACTAAATATACGTGATATGAAAAGCAATGAATTGTATCCAAGATTCAGGGAAAATGTAGTCGATTTGTGAACTAATTCTTTATTTGATGCGAGTACTTAATATTGCAAAATGATCTCAAGATGTCAACTCGCAAGAGTATGAATTCGCAATCTGTATCTAGAATTTTTACGTGAATTAAAAAAAAATAAAGCGAGTAATTCTAGTGATGCTTCTCGCAAAATTCCTTGATAATTACTTTTCGACGCGTACACTGTTATTTAGGAATCTATAGTATCGTAGAGACTTAGCCTCATTATTTCAAAAGTAACAATTTCTGTCAAAAATGTTAACGAAATAAATGAAAGAAGATGGACAAACGAGGCGACAAAAATGCGTATTGTGTGACAAATAAGAAAGTAAAAGTTGACTCTCACTTTCTGTATGACAAAATTTTCTTTGATATTTCATTCAACATTAATGTGTAATTTAATTAAGTCTACACTAATCAAAACAATCTCACAAAGATTGAAATTATTCGTCTATGAAAAATCATACATACACCAAAGGGCAAAAATGATCAATTCTTCATACAAAAACAATTTTCCTATATTAGTGGGTCTTCGATCCATTTAAACAAAAAAAGATTATACTTATAGTATGCGTAAAAATATACATTCTTATGATAACTAAAACATGGAGCGAAGTTCCACTATACCTTAAAAATACACATTTTGACCCAGCATTCGTATTTTTTCGAGAAATATTTGAAGTCCATTTGGCCAAAGGTCATATCACAAACATACTTTAAATGCCGATATATGGTATGAGCGGTATAGCGTAGTGGTTAGCGTGTTAGTCTCGAAGGGAA